CTCTATCTATCTCGAATGGACCTTGCTCCACTACATGTATCTGGACAGACTGCCAGACAAGATACTTCCGAGGTGCAATCCCAAGAATGGACCTATAGGGCGTTGCTGCACTACTCTCTACATGCACAAAAGACAAAAATCTTGGCGGTGTATCTTTCCGAATTCTAGGGGAAGATTCACTCTCGTTTTGCACATTTCGAGAGTAGTGCAGCGAGGCCCATATTCTTCTATCTATCTATCTCGAATGGACCTTGCCCCACTACATGTATCTGGACAGACTGCCAGACAAGATACTTCCGGACTGACAACTCACCTTATGTAGGAACCAACAAACAGAAAACGCTCTGCCTCCACGAGCAGAAAGCTGGAACCATAACTTTTCTGCTGTCGAAATATACTCTAAAAGAACTATAATTTCGGGCAAGGACCTCCTCTCATCATATCTGGTTCAGCTCGTGGGGTATCAATATCAAATGACATACTCCACGAAGTGCTCCAGCGACCGGGGGGTCGGATAAGTGAACTTGCTTACTTGACCCCTCCCTGAGGAAGCCGTAGTTGCCTGAATATGTCAATGATCTTTGGGCAGCTCTTGAAGAGCGCAGTCGGAATCTGGTTTAAACCGGTTTCCCGGTTCACCCCCCCTGGTCTGATCCGGCTCCGGTTGGACCGGGGTAGCTCAACCGGCCGGTTGCCGACCCAGCACTGGTTTAAACCGCAAATTCACCCAAAGCAAAAGAGGGCTGTTACCATGATTCAGGCCCTGGGCCAGTAGTGGACACGGCAGGCCACTCCGGAAAGGTGCAGTCTCAGGCTCGATAGCCTTGGAAGGAAGCTTTGTCAACTTCGGCTTGGGTCAACTGGTGCTTCAAACCCCATTGACTTGTCCCATAACCCCTTTAGCCAAACTATCAGCAGATTCAAAAGATAAGGTCGGAATATGGCTGTTCAGGCTGATTGCAAATCTGGCCCAAAGCTAGACTATGTTTTTCCCCTCAACCTCTTGCCACATTTTTCACCTGCACGGCTCAGCTGTCTGGTAGCTTAGGGTGCTGCACACACGTTTTGGATTTTTGGAAAAACAAAAGTCTAGAATTTAATAAAAGTATCGGAATTACAGTCAATAACTATAAATATTAAATATTAAGTATACATTTTTTATTAATCCGGACAGGCCTCAGGAAAGTGGGCACTGCCGCTTAAGTGGAAAAAGACTCAGATAGAGACTTCTAGAACAGACCTTCCTAAGCCTAACGGTAACAGACCTAACTCCTAATCTACAGACCTGGGGATCGAGTCTCATACAGATCACTGGGTCTATGTACAGGGTGCAGGGTAGGTCTAGGGATCGAATCTCACTCAGCAGACAGGGTCACTGTACAGGGTTTGGGCACAGGTCTAGGGATCGAATCTCTGTGTCTGCAAATGTCGGGTCAACTGGGTGAAACCGCTTCAAAACGAAAATTCAAGAAAATATGACAATACCTGTGTTGCACGCCGTTCACGTTCGCCGGCGAACACGAACACGTTCGCCTGAATGTGTTCGGGCCTGAAAATCTGACGAACGCAAACGTATTTTTTTTTTATTTTTTTTTTCGGGTGGGGGGGCGGTTGAGGGCATGTGTGTGTGTGTGTGTTCTAGATTTTCCCCACAACTGCCCCAATTCCACCCAGGTGAATAAATTCAGAATCAAAGCAGTCTTTGTCCTATTGCAGACAACGACAGCATTTGAGATGTCCAACATATTAAAGCAAATTTATAATTAGACAGTTTTTGGTTGTCCTTGGGGTACCCCTTTCATTGTTCTTGCAGCTCCCCTTTTACTGTGCCTCTTATGCACAAGGCTGCCCACGTTGATTGTGGTTGAGCAGCAGCTGCCCACTTCCCCGTGTGCCTTCACGGCCCACTTGCACGTTATTTCAGGAAGCAGAGTAAAAGGGAAGGTATGCTCCTGTGCATCTCTTCAGAGCTTCATACTCCTGTTCATTTCACTTCAGATATTCAGCTTATACAGTCTTGTGTCGAGGGAGAGAGACAGAGAGACTGTGATGGGAGAGTCGACTCCTTACTCACACATGCAGTCATGCTTGATGTTCCGTTTGGGTGGGTTGGCTCCTCGCTCCACATACAGTCACGCTTGGTTCTTCTTGTGACTGTATGTGGAGCGAGGAGCCAACCCACCCAAACGGAACATCAAGCATGACTGCATGTCTTCTTCTTCTTCTTCTTCTTCTTCTTCTTCTTCTTCTTCTCCTCCTCCTCCTCCTCCTCCTCCTCCTCCTTCTTCTTCTTCTTCTTCTTCTTCTTCTTCTTCTTCTTCTTCTT